AACCCCCTCCCTACCCCCATAAGAGCACAGATAATTAATTTTATATCTGGTGTTAACTGATGCAGTTCATTGAAATTATCTTTGATACACTTCACCATGGAATGAATTCCTGGTTGCCAAATTCAGTAGGTCCTTTTCAGCTCTTATTTTATATGATGATTATGTGATTGATACTATTAACCACCTTTCTCCTTAATATTCTTTCCTTGATTTTTAACACCAATGTCCTTGGTCCTCTTATTCCTCTGCTGCTTCTTTGTGTGTTCATTTTTCTTTGCCTGCTCCATACAGGTTGCTGTTTTCCTTGGGTTCTATCCCTGTTACTAGGCAAGATTACCATAAGCACTTCAAATTTAACATTCTCTTCCTGTTTTCTCCTTTAAATCCTTCAGTAGTATCCCTACACTGCCAAAGAGAAAACTTTTTCACTATATGCAGAAAAATGAGAACTAATGTGGGCTGGTGGGAGAAAGTTTGGGGAAGATAGCTCCATGCCAAACTACTCCATATGGTCATGTTTGTTCTAACAGATTGAGAGTCTCTCCCATCCTGCCCCCAAAAAGCTCTGAATAAAATCAATACTTCAGAAAAGACTGCCCTGTTTATTTTATGATTTTCCATACTCAAGGAACACTTCCACACATCTACCTCTACCTAGCCTACACTCTCATCCGAAGCCGAGACCTGGCTCCTGTTTCTCTTTTTATACTCCTCTCTTTGCTACTCTGTTTTTCCCTTCCTCACCTGTATTTCCACAAAAGGAACATGCTCTTTTATGCAAAGGTGTGCTTGTAATATTCCTCCTTTTTATTTACCCAAGGAATTTCTACTGTTTCCCAACTATCAGCCTCCTCCTCTCTGAGGCAATTCCCCACATCTCTAGGCGACCCAAATTTATCCCCTCCTTTTTCGTGCACCCACTTAACCAGGACTCATCACACTTCACTGCACTGTTTGCTCCTCTTTCTTAAAAGGGACCTCCTAGGTCTTATTTATATCTCTTTAATGCCTAGCACACATCTGTTAAATGACTGCTGACATTAACTTATTTCATTGTACAGCTTTATATTTGTCGGGATTGCTGACCTGCTGAGCTGTCTGTAAGCTTCCAACCTCACTACTGCAAAAGGAAAGTCGTGTTTTGACTCTTAGAGAGGGCCATGACTTCGCCAAGGTCACCATCAGTGGTGCTGAACTAAGACACCACTTCCCGAACCCCCGCCCGCGAGACTGTCATCCAGCTCAAGGTCCTATCTGAGGAGAGAGCCCAAGGGCAGCCCTGCCGCCCACGTGCTTCCCGACAGGAACTCGGCCCCCTTCCTAAACGTAGTTCCGCCAAGTACTGCCTCTAACTGACGTCCCTGTCGTCCAATTAAGCTTTGAGGCTCTGAGGGTTGCACCTAGCCTGACAATGTCCAGTAAAAAAAAGGAATTCAGATTAGCATCAATTTTGACCAATGATTGAGAAGATGAGAGATTATTAACCTATAGGAGCAGCGCTGATGATGATGAGCAGCAAACTCATCCAATGGGCGTGCCTACTGCAGAGTAGGCCTCGCCCCCATTGCCGCGATGTTGGCGGCCGCTACTGCTGCTGCGTTCAGTCTCCACCCGGACTCCGCCATGTTGGGTCTTGTGGGTCGTGTGGCCGCAGTCTCGGCCTCCGGGGCCTTGCGGGGACTCAGCCCCTCAGCGCCGTTACCCCAAGCCCAGCTCTTACTGCGGGCCGCCCCGGCAGTGCTTCAGCCTGGTAAGTGCCTTTCTGTAGTAGCTGGGTTTGTTTCTGCAGCCCCATGACCTTGAGCCGGGGGCGATTGTCGCTCGGGCCTAAGGTATCCGGTGCTAGAAGAACGCCATGGCCGCTCCCTGCCCTCTAACGGATGGAGAACAAGAACGGTTCATCCAGGGGCGCTTTCTTCCATCTAATTCCGTCTAATTTTGGAAAAGGGAGGCGCAGTGTGACGGAAAAGTGCGGGCAGGTGCAATGACCTTCCCGTGGAATGGGGGCACCGAGCTCTCGAATAATGGGGTTTTGTGTATGAAGATGGAGAATTGTGAAGGCGCTTTTTGGGTTCCTGCACAGCCCTCCCTCCGGACACGCCTTCCCTGCAAGCGGAAGGAGGTCGGGCTTGGGCTGAATTCTCCAGACCTTGTGGGTTAAGTCCGGGCCCCCAGTGACCTTTTAACTGCCCCGACCCCAGCTCCTGCCAATCTTTCTTGTCTGTTAGCCAGAGACTATGCCGCCCAGACGTCTCCGGCGCCTAAGCCAGGCGCCGCCACCGGGCGGATCGTGGCCGTCATCGGTGCGGTGGTGGACGTCCAGTTCGACGAGGGACTGCCGCCCATCCTAAACGCCCTGGAAGTGCAAGGCAGGGAGACCAGGCTGGTGTTGGAGGTGGCCCAGCATCTGGGTAAGTAGAATTGTCAGGGATAGTAGAGTTTAGCTCACATAGGCCCCGATCCCGGCTGTCTTCCTTCTATGATGATTTTATCAAAATGACTTTCGTTCTTCTGAGTTTGCTGAAGCCACCTTTCCGTACTGAGAAGGAGTCTTGGTTGACTTATGTCTTCCATGCCACCTACACTATATTAAATACCATGAAGCCATGTTGGTTGTATGTACCACCCTGCAGCAATGCCTTTATCTGACAGGTGAGAGCACTGTAAGGACCATTGCCATGGATGGTACAGAAGGCTTGGTTAGAGGCCAGAAAGTCCTGGATTCTGGTGCACCCATCAGAATTCCCGTTGGTCCTGAGACCTTGGGCAGAATTATGAATGTCATTGGAGAACCTATTGATGAGAGAGGCCCCATCAAAACCAAACAGTAAGTATCCTCTCGCTGCATCTATACACAGAGGAACTGCTTTTTCTTGCAGTGTTATACATTAGGTGACGCTTTTTAGTATGGCAGAATTTTTCTGTGGAGAATACTTAAAAATGCTGTCATATTCGATTATTAAAGCTACACAATGCAATTTCTTTTGAAGAAAATTAAGGATGCAGAAATTCTGATTGTAAAAAAAAACACCTGCTTAGGACCCAAGTTGATTATTTAAGTGAGTTTTAATGCCGATGGCTTATGTTGTCGGATTTCCAGAACTTGCATGATTCGTATGTGAAGAAGTGCTGTTAGGTTAGGACTCAGTAAAGGAAAATCTTTTTTTGATTTCAGAGAGAGG